CCCTAGCTTTTGTTTGGAAAAAAATATTCAACTCTAACTAAAGCATAAGGCTCTCTTATTTTTCTTTTTTCTCCCACCTAAGTGGCATACCAATTTCTTCTGATGATGAAAGTTTGCTTCAACTCCAAAAAGTCCACCTGTCGTAGATTAGAATGTATTTCAGGCATTGCTCTTTCATTTTAAATATTTACAGAGAAAAAAATAGAATCACTATGCGGGTAACTGATAAAACTATTATCCGAAATCTCTGTAAGGGGACAATTGTTATTCTATTCAAATCTTAAAACAATTCCATGGAAATACACAAATAATTCCAAGGAAACAAATGAAGAAACTAACACATCGTTAAGCTAACATGTTTACTTTTTTTTTTTTTGGTAATGAGGATCGAACTCAGGTCCTTGCGCTTGCAAGGCTGGCAGCAGAACCACTGAGCTAAATCCCCACCCCGCGCTAACATGTTTACAAACAGGCTGGATTTGGAAGGAAATCACGATCAAGACATCTACATTAAGAAACCTAATATACTTGTATGGATTTTGTGTATTTAAAAACAACCTGGGCAACTCGATGACTTGGTAAGACTCAAAAAATAAAAAAGAAAAAAGGCTGGTGATGTAGGCCAGTGTGAAGGCCCTCAGTTTGTTCAAATGCCCAGTGCCAAAACAAACAAACAAACAAACAACAACAAAAAGATTATCATCATCTGTAAAAACACAATCCATTTCAATGAATTTTAAATATTTCCTAGACTTTAAGAATTTCTCAACAGTCTCTGTATAGCAGGAATCTGAAATATGAGTGCCCTCTGTGTTAGGGGTGTAGCTCGGTGATAGAGTGTATCTTATCCAGAAGCAGGAATCTGGAGTTACCAGACTCACAGCTAAGAGCCCAGATTAACATAGCACTGCTTTGCCTAAAAGGGAACAAGACAAAAAACAAAAGAGAACAGTTGTGAAGTCAGACAGATACGGCTTTCAACAAGCTCTAGTTCTGCTGATTCTTTGATTTATGAGGATACTGTCACTGTCTATTTTTGAGCTACACAAATGGCAACTTCAGACTCATGCTTGTAATCCCAGTACTCTGGGACGCTGAAACAGAAGGGTCACAAGTCTGCACCCAGCCTGGGCAATTCAGTGATTTAGCAAGACCATGTTTCAAAATAAAACATAAATTTAAAAATAATAATAATAATAATAATAAAGGCCTAGAGATGTAGCTCTGTGCAAAGGTACTGGGTTCAATCAGCAGTGCAGGAAAAAAAAATAACAGCAGATTTGTGTGGTTCCACCTAGTGGCTATGCGACACAGGCAGCTGGCCTGTACTTCCACCTCTTCACCTGTAAAAGGCTGTGTTCCTTTAAAATTCACGTGTGGAAGTCTTAACCCCCAAAGCTCAGGAGGTGACCTTACTTGGAGATAATGCCTTAATAGAGGTAATGAAGTTAAAGTGAGGTCTTTAAAGCGGGCCCTCATCCAAAATGACTTGTTCAAAAGGGGATGTTTGGACACAGTGTCGTGCACAGAGAGAAGATAATGTGAAGAGACACGGAAAACAGCTACCTACAAGCCAAGGAAAGGCCTGGAACAGATCTTCCCTTACAGCCCTCAGAGGGAAGCAACCCTGCTTTCCCCATAAATCGATCACCTCTCTTCCTCAAGACCTCCATCCCCAGCATGAGCAGTGTCCGCGGGCCTGCTCGTCTCAGTTTCCAACACAGGTAAGCACGTTTCGCATTCTGACACAGCCTGCCGCATGGGGCAGCCTGACAGGTAAGGGAAATACACTCACGTCTCACACACCCACAGCTCCCCCTAGATCCTCTCTGCCATACTGAGGCTCAATACACTCCTGCAGCGCTTAAGAAGCCTTCACTTCAGGCAGCCACGATCAACTGATCAGAACTGCCCTTTAAGAAAAACCTGTTTACCGGCCTGCATTTACCTCTATAGACTCAGTAACAAGTCAGTGATCATTGTAGAAATCTCATGGTATTTGGGAGTTAAGGGGTGTGCAACCTTGGGGAAGTCATTTAAAATCTTTGAATCTCTGTTGCTTTAGCTGCAAAGGGGAGCCAGCAGATAATAAATACACTGTAGTGGTTTTGGCTGAAAGCACCTTGTCTAGAGCCTGGCAAATGAAAGGACTCCTTTGCTTGATCTGAAAGTAGGGTGATGTGAGATGCCCTGGAAAAATGTCCCTGCCAGCCAGCAACCAGGCCACAAGCTAATTTATCTCAGCAAGTCCAGCTCATGTTTTTTTTTTGTTTTTTTGTTTTTTGTTTTTTGTTTTTTTTTTGCTTTTGGGGGTTTTTATGGTTTTTTGAGACAGGGTCTCACTAAGTAGTTGAGACTCACCTGGAATTCACTATGTAGTCCAGGCTCCTGTGATCCTGAACTCACAGTGATCCTCCTGCCTCAGCCTCCTGAGTGCCGGGATTACAGGCGTGGGTCATGTGTTTTTATACCTGAAGGAGCCCTGGAGTAGGTGCTGACCTGGAAACCAAACTGATGCCAGAAAGGCAGGTCAGCAGTACAGTCAGGGGTCAGAGCAAGGCTTTCCTCTATCGGGTGGGACTTACTTGAATCAGAAGGAACATTTGTTCCAACAGGCAATGCTACCAATAATCCATCTGTGGCTGTCTGAATGTCTGTGGCTCCACAAACTCATTTGGGGAAACCTAGCCCTCAACAGAATTGTATTAGGAGGTATGTGGTGGATTAAATAATGCTCAGCTTGGAACGCCCTGCTGAACTGAATCAGTGTGGTTCTGGGCACGGAAGGACTATTCACCAAACCCGAGGATGGCTGCCAATGGCATAAAAAGAGAACTAGAGAGGAAGATCATATGCTATTGATTTTCCTGGGGAGGCTTGCTGAGGCTAATTTCCCTGATGCGAAGTTGAACTTGGCTGTTCTCCTTGGTGGAGGAGCTCGGGTCCTCACTGTCGCTGGGAGTGGCTGCTGTTCTGATCAAGAAGGCTCTGGTCTTCACTTTGAGTGTCACTTCCTGGCCCCACTGCAGATCCCTCAGCCTGGTGGCACAAATCCTTCACCCCCCTGATGCAGGCTTTCTAGTTTCCACCACTGGTCTTTGGGCCATCCCGGTGCAGATCCTCAATACAGACTTGTATGAGACATTGCCTTGAGCTTTAGGCCTCCAGCTGGACTTGTGTGGGACACTGCTGTGGGATCCAGGTGCTTCGCTGGACTCTTCAGGTCTCTAATGTGTGGACAGATTACTTGTACTCCTTTGCATTTGACTTTCTGGGTGAATGTTATAAAATAATCCTATAAATTGTGTCCTGTATTAAATCTATTCCCTTGCAAATCTTGATTGACTACAAGGTGGCACCTTTGAGAAGTGATCAGGTTAGGGGAGCTCTGCCCTTGCGATAGGATCAGTGCCATTATGAGAAGCCCCAGCAAGAAGATGCAGATATGAAGTGGGCCCTCACCACACACTGAATCAGCTTGTGCCTCGATTCTGGACTTGTCAGAATCCCAATAAGAAACAAAGTTCTAAGCCACACGTGATAGCCTCTCCTATAAGCACAGCACTCTGGGAAGCTAAGGCAAGAGGGTCAAAAATCCAAGCCCAGCCTGGGTAGCACAGTGATCCAGTGAGACCCTGTCTCAAAAAACGTCAGGAAATGTAGCTCAGTGTGAAGGCCCGGGGTTCAGTGGCCAGTAGAGCCAACACAAAAGCTGGGAGCTGGGTCATTGCACAGGGGTAGAATGTCTACCTAGCATGCTCTATGCCAGCACCCCAAAAAGAGGAGGGAGGAGGAAAGGAAGAAGGAAAAGAAGAAGAAAGGCAGAAGGAAAGAAAAAGAGGAGGGAGGGGAGAAAGAGAGAAAGGGAGAGAGAGAAGCAAGTGAGTCAGCAGTGGCGGTGCATTCCTGCAAACCCAGGTGCTGAGAAGGCTGAGGCAGGAGGGTCATAAGGTCAAGGCCAGCTTGGACAAATTCAAACTTAAAAAGCGCTGGTTAGGTATATAAATCAGTGGTAATGTGCTTGCCTAGCATATGTAAGGCCTTGTGCTCAATCCTCACTGCTATAATAATACTATCTGTCTTCTTACACTGGGATTGCTAAGCGCTCCATAAAGAACATCTCAACAAACGAAAGCCACCCCAGCCCTTGCCGAGTCAGTGGAAACTGAGGACTCCCCCTGACAAACATTAAGCCTGGTGCCCAAGGTCACACAACTGGAAGGCAGCAGCACTGGGCCTCCACTTGAACAGCCCTCTGCCATTCTGGAGGGTACAGTACACACGCTACTACATGAAGCTCCAGTTCTCACATGGGGCTGGAAGGCGCCCAGGCAGGGGCTGCCAGTTCCAACAGACAGGAATTATAAACCAAGTGCACAAAAAAAGTCACAGCCCCATTCCAGGCAGCCAGGGATTGACCTATAATCAGGGGTTAAAAATCCAACTAGGAACAAATACAACCTCGCATCTGTCAAAACAAAATTTAATACCTTGTAAATCTTAGGTAATTCAAACTTAAAACCCTGTCAGTAAATAGATAACACTCTCAGCTCTTTCACTAAACACTTATACATAATTAATCTTTAGAAGCCAGTGTGTTGTCTTACATCTTCAACAAGTACTTATCACTGTTACATAATTTTATTACCTCAATGACAGTGAAAAAATAAGTTGTGACCTACCCAAATGACCTCCAAACCCAAATGCCACAAACGCCAACTGCCAATCCTACCTGCCAAGCATGTATTCTGAACCCCAGATGCTATACGTTATACGCTTTAGCGTACAAATGGGCTCACCAAACAGTGGCAAAGTCAGACCATTAAATGCAGACCTAAACGCACATAAGATATTTCTGTTCTTTGCTAAATAAGACTTTACCATTCAATTTTATTTGAACATTTACTGATCAGCAATTATCAAAATGGTGACCTTGACTAGGATGAGAATAATTTACATCAAACTTTTGATAAGTAGGTCGACGAAAAATAAGCAAGTACCTGGGAAAGTAGGCTGTGCACCGGCCTGAGCCTGTGCTCGGTAGACTTCTGGCTGGAGCTGCAGTTGGGGTGCCAGTCCCACTCACAGGGAGAGGATAGTAACGTGGAGCTCCGTGTCCTGGAAAAGATGGTGTGGTTAAAATCCAGAATGCTGAGATCTTAAGGCACGTGGAGGGAATCGGGAACCGGAAAGTAACAGGCAAGTCACCTCCACGACTCCTGCAGGTGTCCTTCCTGCCCCACAAGGAGGAAAGCACATCTCATTTGCGCACAGGCCCTGGCAGCTGCCCTGGAGAAGCCCAGGGAAAATTCCCAGGGGAAGAAGAATGTGGCTTCTCCCTGGTTCTGGCCCTGCTTTTCTGTTTGCTACACAGTGATCCAAGCAAAGCACTCTCCTCCCTGCGCAACAGACAGGAGAGAGGATGGGGTGCACATTATTTGTACAGGCAGGAGGCCCATTTCCTTCTTCTAAGGAGCAGTGGGAAGGGCCGGCAATGGCTCAAGCTAAGCCATCTGGAGGTCCTACGAAGTAAGCGATGGGATTGGAACCCAGCCCATGCGTGTTTTCTATTATCACTCCCAAATATAAATAAGTGGTTAACCAATCAAGATGTGTCTCGGACCAGGGGTTTAGCTCAGTGGTTCTGCCGCCTGCCTTGCAAGCACAAGATCCCAAGTTCAATTCCCAGTACCAAAAAAAAAAGTTTCATTATGTTTTTTGGCCTTAATGTGTAATTTTTCTATAGGTATCAGCTCCAAAAAGACTTTGTTTCTTTTATGAAAATCTCTTGCTTTTAATTCAGTCAGGTTTTTTGCATTTCTGAGACATCCTGACTTTAACTCTTTTTTTTTGGTAATATTCCAGGTGTTTTTGACATGTTTAAAAGCTACAAATGACAGTCATTCATTTCTAAAATCTAGTTGTCTTTTAGACAGTCTTGCTAGGTAGTACAGGCTGGTTTTGAACTCCCTGTATAGTCCAGGCTGACCTCAAGTTTGTGGCAATCTTCTTGCCCCAGCCTCCCAAGTGCTGGGATTACAAGCATGTGCTGCATTTCCAGCAGTCTAAAATCTATTAATGACTGGGGTCTCTTTTTAGAGAGAGAGAGAGAGAGGGACGTTTTTTAAAAGAAAAAAAGTTGGCAGAAATAATTAAAATATATTTTTGGTTTTATTAGTTTTGACAGATATGTAAAAGTAATGCCAGGTAAAGAGTGTTAAAACTAGGGCCGGGGATTTAGCTCAGTGGTTCCACTGCCTGCCTCGCAAGCGCAAAGACCCGAGTTCGACCCCTGTTACCAAAAAAAAGTGTTAGAACTAAAAAAAAAAAACAAAACAAAAAAACCCTGTAATTTTAAAAGGAAAATCCATAGGTGGCTCAGTATTTTTGTTTTGGGTGTCACTGTTTTTCTCTCTTTTGCCTCCTTTCATTTGTGGCTGTCATGAAACTGAGAAGGTGCTAGCAGATGCTTGCTGCATACCTAGCATACAGGGAAGCAGGCATGGAATTCTCCCCCTCTCCACTTCAGGGAGCTGGCGATGCTCAGTCACTGAGCGGCTGGTAGGTGTTTTGGTCAACATGTGACTGACTATAGAATTTGCGGACTAGCAGCCCCAGCCACCCTGCTCCTCCACGGGGAGAAAAAGGGAGTGAGGGACAGTGAGGAGGTGAGAGGAAAGAATGAATTTCTTGAGGTTTTGGAAAGCAGGTTAAGTGTAAATTGCAGTTATGATTTAAAATGCAAAACACAGGGCTGGGGATTTAGCTCAGTGGTGCTACTACCTGCCTTGCAAGTGCAAGGTCTCAAATTCAATCCCCGGTACCAATAAATAAATAAATAAATAAGCAAGCAAGCAAGCAAGCAAAATATAGCGGCTCCCCAAAACTGCACGCTACGTGCATGTTTTAGTGATCAGTCTACTTCTTGAGATGAAAGGGACGCTACTTTTAGAAGAAAATCAGCTTTATGATTTAGCCAATCAACTCCATAGAAATCTCTGATCAAAGGTTGCTGGGAAGATTTTTCTTCATAAAAACACAACCGATAAGTGACCTCCTGGCCACTGAGCTCTTATTTTTAATCTGCAGGGAGAGGAGGTATTGGGACTAAAAGTTAGCGGGAAGATACAGAACATGCAAGGTCAGGGAACAGACATTCCACAGGCTGTCAGGGGCAGGGCATCTCTGGAGGACTATGGTGCAATCCATGCACTGCTCCGTCAGCTTTGCCTGGACCAGCACCACTGCAGAATCCCAGGCCCCGCCACAACCTGCAGAATCACACACAGCCTGCATCACAACAGCGTGACTCATACACACATTAAAGTTTAAGAAATAAAATGTGCTGGGGCTGGGATTTAGCTCAGTTGTTCAGCTGCCTGCCTTGCAAGCGTAAGGTCCCAAGTTTAATTCCCAATACCAGGAAAAAAAAAAGAAAGAAAGAAAAGAAATAAAACATCACGGTCATGGTATCCCTGAAAGATATAGAAGCGACGGGTGGGGGATTTAGCTCAATGGCACCGTGCCTACAAGTGGAAGGTTCTGAGTTTGATCCCCAGTACCACACACACAAAAAAGTCTGATACAGACTGACTAATGAAATTAACATACGTCAGCAGGACATAAGCCCTCCTAAGCTACCCAGAAAGGAGTATTTTCTATGAGCTTTGGGAAAACATGTACACGCCCCATGGAAGCCTGTCCAGTAACAAGGGGGTCAGCAAATGAAAAGCAGTGGTCAGCAAAGCGATGCTTTGTCCACGTGTACATTAAAGAGCTCCAAGGGTTATGGACACAAGGAAGATATTTGTCTTCTGATGCAATACTCTTTCATCGGGCTTAAGGGAATGTTCTCTCTTTAGAAAAAAAAAAAAAGAGGGCCAAAGGTATAACTCAGTGGGAGAGTGCTGGTCTAGCATGCCATGATGCTCTAGCTTTGATTTCCAAAAATAAATAAATACATAGAAGGGCTGTGGATATAGATCAGTGGCACTGCACCTGCCTAGCAAGCACAAGGTCCTGGGTTTGATTCCTGGTACGGGAACAAGGACTACACAGCAACTACATAGATCATATACTGTAGCTCACCCAAACTCCCTAAATATATGTAAGAGACAAGCATTCCTAAGCAATGACAATATTTCTTTCCCACTAGCCCAGACGTGGCCTCAGGGTCCTCCCTAGCTTGGTAGTTCAAGCAGTGCCCACTACATAAAACCTTTCGCCAGCTGTAACAAAACAGCCATTCTTCTAGTTCTACACTTTGGTTACTGAGACCAATGTTTAGGCTTTGCTGTGCCAGATCTCAGAGGCTCCTTAACGACCACAGACTGAGCCCAGTGTGGTGGGTCAAGCCTGGAATTCCACCACTCTGGCAGGCTGAGGCAGAAGAATCACAATTCCAGCCAAACCTGGACAATTTAGTGAGAACCTGTCTCAGAAAAAAAAAGAATAAAAAGGTCTGGGGATGTGGCTCAGGGTGAAGGCCCTGGGTTCAAGGTTCCAGGGTAAGGGGAAAGGAGAGCCGCGGTTCAGTCATTAACTTCTTTCCACAGACAGATGCTCCTTTCCCCCTCCATGCACATAAGCTTCCTTTTACTTTCAGAAGCAGAACAGTAAAATAATGCTATCATTATATTGGGGCTGCAATGAATGTAGCTGAGTGCCCAGGACATGTAAAACCCTGGCTTTTGGCTCCAGCACCACTAAATAACATGTCTGAGAATTGCACTCCATCCCTAAAATGTACCAAATATCTAAATTTATTTTTCTAGTACAAAGTACCTTTTATAGATAGGAAGAAATCTATCTAAATAAAATGTATTATTGCCAGGAGTATTCCTGAGTTTGGGCTACATAGTTCTGTGCTTGGGGGCTGTCCTGTGAGTGGCAGAACACTGTGCAGCCTCTCGGACCCCACCCACTAAATGTTTCACTTCTTTTTTTTCCCCAATACTGGGGATTGAACTCAGGACGTTGCACTTCAAGTGCCATTGAACTAAATCCCCAGTCGCCTACCCACTAAATGTATCAGCATCCTGAGTTATAATGACCAAAGGATCCCAGCACCCTGCCAAACTTCCTACCCCAGCTCCAAGGCTCCACTGACTTTAATGATTTTAGTGATTCGTGGAACTATGGGAAAACTTCCCCTCTTAATTTTCCTTATTTTCTAAAACTCCCTTAATGAATGTGTACTGCTTGTATGATTAAAAACAAGGTAGTTATGTTTTTGTTTGTTTGTTTTTTGGTACCAGGGATCGAACTGGGGTCCTTGTGCTTGCAAGGCAGGCGGTGGAGACACTGAGCTAAATCCCCGGCCCATTGTTGTAATTTTTAAAAAGAAATAGCATTTGCTACAAATACATCAAGTTGATTGCTAAACGCCATTGTGTAGCTCAATGTAAAAAGTAAATCCAGATCCTAAACATACTATGTACAATTTGGCACCTTAGACTCAATTCTGCAAGGCATAAAAGACCCAAAAGAAGGACTTTAGCAAAGAAAGTTCTGATTGAGGCCTGCAACCATGCAGAGAAGAACTTCTAAACCCTTAGTCTGCATGATAAATCAGTGGGGTTTTATAAAGAATGGTAAAACTGCCATTTCAGGAAGAGCCTTTCCCTAAAAATACAGCCTGCAGGCTGTATTTGTGCACGTGTGTGCACACACACACACACACCTCACCCCCACGCTGGGAATCAAACCCAGGGCTCTGAGCATGCTGGGCCAGTGCTCTACCACTGACCTACACCCCAGGTTCTTCCCACAGGCTTTAATCAGAAAAATATTTGCGTTGCTGAAAAAATACTACTAAGGCACATTTTCTTCATCTGTAAGCATTGCTATACTTGCAAATCACATTAAAAAATTTCAAACTCAGAAAATTAACTATCTTGACTGTAATATCTTAACATGACCATCTTCATGGGCACCAAGAGTAATTACACCAGAATTTCATCACACTCTGGGAACACCACGTCGTCCGCCGAAAAGAAGCCAAGTTCTCGGTGAATTTACCCCAAGAGCGAGACGGCCTTCGTCTCCATCTGCACACCCCGAACAGCCCAAGCAGTATCGACATGTCCGGGGAGAAGCTTCCAGGCATCTTTGCTTAC